CATTTTTTCAGATGTATTTTAATCATCATAGTTCCAACATATAAAGACATGTCAAAGCTAAAACTAGAACTGTCCAAAAGGGACAAATACCCCCCGCTGGGTTTTTCAGAGAATGTACCAAATCACTAATGTTTTCTAGATGTGAGAGGTGTTCACAATTTGCTTAAACATTTACAGTGAAAATTTAATTACTCATTAATATATTTTTTATACGCCCGTCTTAAGACGGGACGTATTATGTTATAGCGTTCATGTCCGTCCGTCTGTTAGCTTTTTCATGTCCGGCTCATAACTTCAATACTATTAGGCCTAGAATTATCAAACTTTGTCAGCTGATACATCTAGGGTAGAAGGTGTGTCGCACATTAAAACCAGGTCGCTCTGACCTTTAATAAAGATGCTATGGCCAAATATGGAAAAATCATAACTAGAAAATCATTAGAGTTAGAATCAAAAAAACTACGTCTTTTAACTTTTAAATTACACAATCCCAAAAGATGTCAGAGTATTGCAGTATCTTTATTAAAAAAAAAAGTGTTAAATCAAGAAAACACTAGTCTTATTTTTTTCATTATGTTCTTTATAGCAATCTGTAACAAGAAAAATTCCACCTCTCCCATGGGTGTAATGATCAGGCACTGGCCAAGGAAAATTTTGATAGCAGAAAATTGCATGTCAAATTAGAGATAAATTAATGAGTTTAGTGTGAGGAGATAACTGGTAGAGCATCTCTGATCAAGCAGGTGTTATCTACATCTCTTGGGAATTGGGCAAAAGGAATCAGTCTCTTAATTGTTCTTGTTGGCTAGTCTTACTTTCAAGATAAATTTGATGTAATTAAAACTAATTTGATATTGTATATAATAATCAAAACTTATATGATATTGTATAATATAATTTAAACTAATTATTTATTGTACATTTTTTATTTTAATTTTTATATCTTTACAACAAATTGCAGACTGCCTTGTCTCACTAAGATGTCATTCGAACAATTGAATCTAAACTGTTTATGATAATTTAACAATATTTGATGGGTGTATCATGCTGTGGTGGGGCACTTTATTTCATGAATGAAACTAAGGTGCAGCCTAATAAAACATCAATACTAATAATTACAGTGTTTTTTATTACATTGAAAAAATAGTTTGCAACTATCTGCCATCTTTGTGAGACATGACACTCTGCAAATTGATTGTTGAAAAAAAAAATATCATAATTAATTATACAAAATCAAATTGATTTTAATATCTTTATATCAAACTCATTTTAAAAATAAAAGGCTGGTTCCAGTAACTATGTATTTTGACAGACATAAATTACAATTAAGAGACTTAAACAACAGAGATCTTTATTTCTTTCTGCCCAATTCCCCAGAGACATAGATAAGACCTGCTTGATCAGAGATGCCCTAACAGCTTCCCACACTGAACTCATTAATTAATCTTTAACTGGATGCATGTCCACTCATTACTCCCAAGGGACAAATGGATTTACACTATCTGCTGTGTAATGTAAAAACTGTTTTTAATACTTTGTGATTTTATTTTTTTAGTTCTAATGAGTAGTTTTAAGCTGTAGTTCACATTTTTGTACAGATGTTCTAGATTCTATGTCTCAAACCTTTGACATGAACCCGAAATGACTAAGTCAATAAAAATAAAAAAAACACCTGTAAAATGCAGAAAAATTATCAAATAATGTTGAAAATACCAGGTGCACATCTTCATATGGTAAATAATAAGTGTACAAATTTTCATACAAATCTATGCAATAGTCTCTGGGAACAGATCCGGACAAAACCACATAATAAAAATGAAAAAAAAAAACCTGTAAAATGCAAAAAAAATTATCCAATCATGATGAAAATACCAGGTGCACACCTTCATATGGCAAAGAATAAGTGTACAAATTTTCAGACAAATCCTTGCAACAGTTTCCAAGAAATGGTCCGGACAAAATCTCGTCTACAGACAGACAGACAGACAGACGGACAGACAGACGGACAAGCTGATTCCAATATACCCCCCCCTAAACTTCGTTTGCGGGGGGTATAATTAGGTACAGTCAGGTGCATCATTGTATCTCGAATTACAGTAGAAAGAGTGACCATTAGTATTCTACAATAACACACAGATTACAACGAACTGAAAGTTACAGATGTACCATTCTACAAACATTTTCCACCTAAGAGTTTCCCTTTACTTACATACACAGTCAAACCTCATGATACCCTCTCCCAAGATATCACATCTCAACAATAATTACCTTTCCATCACAAAATGACCCCATCCCATCAACTTGTTTTCTCCTTTAAGATATAATATTTCTCCAATACTTACATATAAGGTGACGTCCGGCAGGAACTGACCAAACTCGGCCAAAAGATCATCCTGGTTCTGGAACAGCTTCTGTCAGGGACTCACAACCGGGGAGACGATTTTAACATCACAAAACATCTCAGTGACGTATCAGTTTTACAATGCCTGTATTACAAGTCTACTGCCACAAAAGTTTTCATTCTTAGTCTGATTTGGTCTGGCAATATGTAGACATACAGAATATAAGCTATTAACGTCCCTGTATAGACCAAGCAAAATGAGTGGTAATTGTAACAGGATGTTCCCCACATTGCTCCTCACTCCCTTTCGGTTTCACATTCCCTACAAGCTTCATTAAATTAGGCAATACTTTTGTATTATAGATTCAAACTTTATTTTGCAGACTATTTTATCAGAAAAATACTCCGATATAGCCGCACAGGTATTAACCTATCAAGTATCAGTGCGTGTGCTTGCACATTTTTTATAGATTTTTTTACATATGTTTTCTTTTAGTTCTCACAATATTTACCCACGTTAAAAATATCAAAAAATAAGCAAGATATAACCAAGTAAGTATTAGCCAATCAGAATTTAGCACACATACAAGCATGTCTTTGCATTCAGGTTTGATAGTAGCAAAATGTAAGGATGCACTACACCTATAGATTTACTTTCAGAATTTCGTCCTTTTTTCAAAACTAAGAAAGTTATAGCCATTTAAGTTTCAACCAATCAAACTGCAGCACACGTACATGCGCACATTTTCCAGAATTCTCCTATATATTTTTTGTAGAACTTTACAAATATATGCCCATACTTTAAATTCCATTGTATTTCGACAAAAAACAAGGAATTTATTGAGATTTTTGTCTCAGCCAATCAGAGTGAAGAGCACGTGCATGATCCTACTGTTTTTGGTAATTTCCTAACATCACCTCGATTACACCACTAATTTAAGTTAATATACTGACGTTCAAAGCATATCATAAAAATATAGCAAAGTAATTGTTGTTTCAATTATACCAGTCATCACGTGAGCGCTTAATGACCTTTGTTCCGCATGACTGTTAACCCTAAAACCCTAATGTCAATTAGATGAGTAGTTTCCCAAAACACTGAACAAAAAAGTACTGGAGATGAAATTTTAGAAAAGAAAGTAAAAACAATATATTCCAAAACTTTGTTTTGGGAACATACCTGAAATAACACTCAGCTATTTTCATCAGAATGGCTTAAAATGAAAGCACATAAGAAGACAACAATTTTGGACTTATTACTTTTAATTAATACACTTTTTCTACACTAAACATACACAAAGTGAAAGTAGATGACAAACAAAGTGAATGTAGATGACCAAGTTAAGGTAGATGAGAAGGCAGCATCAGTTTGACCAAAAGAGAAATTCATGTACAGAAATGTTACAATGTAATTAATAATAATTGTAATATATAATAACATTACTTTTACAATCTGACCAGTATGGAAAATTCAATGACACACGTATTACATTGCAATATGTAATAAAAATGTAATACTACAGACTTACAAGTTGCATTTCTTACAATCTACATTGTAATTCTGAGGTTTATGACTATTTACAGGCAATTATTTTACAATAATAAGAGGTATATGTCATATCCCAGTCATAAAATTACAGTCCCAGGCATTACATGTAATAATGTAATTGTCATGAAGTCTCTATTCACAAATTGAAGATTTAACTTTACAGAAACCATGTGAAAAATGATTAAAAATAATTAACAGTGAAAATAAAAATTTGCAGATCATATAAGCACACCTTTATGGAGAAAAATTTTACCTGTTTTGAATTTTAAAAGATGAATTATACATTTTTTGCAGTCGTGAATAGGGCTCTGATTTAATGCTTTATACATACCTCGTAAATATGTGGGCAGAAACAAAATTTTGATTCTGCATATAGCGAATCTTCTCAAAATATGATCACACACATGTAACATGAATAAATATACAATGTGTCTATGCAATATGCAAAGTCAGAGGAAATGCTGACTTAATAATATAAAATGTTACATTATTAAATGTAATCAAATTTGTAATGCTGTGTCACTGTAACAGATGATGTAACAATATACAGACTGCATGCATTTTAAGAGATTTAGATATTTTTAACTTAAACCCGAAAACATGGAGTATATGATAGATGGCCTCATAGATGTAGCGTAATAAAAATATACAACAAACATGATGTATAACTCAGTCCTCTTATGATCACAATTACAAACAAACTTTACTAAGTGATTAGGTATTTCTCTAAGTAATCAATTTACATTCCTGAATTAAAAAAATTACATATACCTACAGGATTCTTCCATTTAACACAGAAATATATACACTGAAAATCTTATTTACAACTTCATTTTTAAGATCATATATTAAATCTCTTGTTTTTGGTACATTTACATATAATCAATCAGACTGCAATTTTCATTCCTGCATGTTGTCATGAAATGTACAGGGTTGTGTAAATTAATTATAAAAATTCCCATGATCAAATGACATGCAACCTTTAAGAAATGAAATTCATCATTGTTTGAAAGTGTCAACCTATGTAAATAATGACGATTGGTTGAATGCATTACCCCTTTAAATACATCATACAATGTCTGTAAAAAGAGATTTATTTAAATGCATCCAATCTACTTTCTTTAAATGCATCAGTCCCGTTTTCTCTTATAGTTAACTTTAGATAATATTAAGCAAGTACTTGCTGAAATTTCGGTTGTTATCGATAGATTCATTAGTAACCTCCTTAATTAGTGGCCTCTTTAACTGGCTCAGCTGGTTCCCCTGCCTCACTTTTGGTCTCGTATTCATACTCCACCTTGTATTTGTTAAAGGTGAAGTAGGGTGTGGCATCTTCGGTACCGCAAGATTCCTTCGTGGTGGTACACGCCACCAGATCCTCAGTATGTCCCATCAGCCAATCCTCACAAGCCGTCTTTTGATTCTCCGTCAGATTTTCCTCCCGCCAGCGATTTATCCACATGGTGAATTTGTCATGGAGCTTTAGGGACACTCTCTTGTGTGACTGTAATGATCAAAAATTAAATCTTTGAAAAACATATAGTAACTGAAAATGTGTGATATAAAGTTATCAAAATATTTTGTATATTATGGTTATTACAAAATGATGTCAACTATCATTAGAGGTCAATCACAACTACAATTTTAGGAGAGAAAAATACAGACAGACAGAATGATGCCAACTTGTATCAGAATAGCTTACTAACTGTAAGGGCTGACAAACAATATAGAATTTTAAAACGGTTCATTACTTTTGTACACTTACCTCCCTTGCCTTGGTGAGTGCTGTACGTTTGTACAAATAGTACTCGCTGTTGACGACGTACACTATTTTGAATGAGTTGACGTTAAATTTACACTCTGTATTGTCCAGAATATCCATGTCCTCCGTAGACTGCTTGGGTGACCCGGGGATTTCCTCCGTCTCTGTGTCCGACCGAGATTTCTGATTCTTCTGGTGAAGTCGCCACTGTCTCACATTCCTATAGCAGACAATTTAAGATATTAAAGATCCTACATGTATGTGTCCAATACATAGTTCTCAGGTTATATAAAAGCTAGACCCCAACAAATGTGCCATTTAACAGAGCTGATAGTTTTGAAATGGAAATAACTGAGCAGGTTTCATCAATCTTAACTCCCACTTGCCTCTTCAATGAATAAAAATATCAGTGTTACATATATGTACTAACTGGGTAACAAGACAAATCGCCTGGACAAGACAAACTAGATCATTTTACACCTTCCAGTCATAATGACCTCCATATTTACATCTGAATCCAACTTTGAAGTCATCATCAACAACCTTGTCTGAGTCCATTCTAATCCACAGTAACAATGTTGCAGACACAATTTAAAAAATTTTCTTGCTCAGTAACCTTAACTCTTTTGAAAAATATGACCTTAAGATAAGAATACAAATTACCTGGGAAGGAAAACAGGTTTGCGATTAAGGTGTTCCTTCAGGTCTTCCGACACTGTGTCGTCCTTGGAGACATATTTCTCTACATACTCAGACCAACGCTCTACTTCTATTGGATCATCAGACTGCTCGTGATCAGTGTCCAGGAGTTCAAAGGTCAACTTACACTCTTTCTTGAACTGTTGAAAATAAAGATTTTAAAATACTATAAACATACAGATTATGAGTGGAGGTTATTTGTCTTGCTTATTAGTAGAAACATTTTGCCTAAACATTGCAATCCTAAATCAAACAAGTAGACATCCCTGAAATACAACCTAAAATATGTCCATTCCATGCTCTTGCAGATTTTCAAAACCAACGGTATTTAGATCTATGTTGAAATGCTCGTTTTCCCCTTCCCTCTTACTTACAATGACAACTTTGAAGCAGTTTTCCTCGCTGAGACACTGTTCGGCTTTCTTCTGGTAGGCGCTCTCCTTGGCTGACCGCTGGTGGACAGTGGCTACCCGTCCACCTGTGGCATTGTTCTTGCGTTCCTCCTGGAACAGTGCAGTGATCTTAACACAAACCTCATCCTGGACAATATGCTGCATCTACAAAAACAAACAGTGATACTATTATTCAACAATCCTATCTTAGTAAAGCAAGTAAATACATTTATTTTCGACTACTGGAATTCTTTTGATTTATGTTATTTTATTTGAAATAAAGTGCCCCACTACAGCGTGATATGCCCATCAAATACTGTTTAATTATTATAAAAAGTTTAGAGTGCATATCACTCTAGAAAATCATGTCAACCTTGACACAAAGATTTCAAAGATTTTTCCATTCCTTATAATGTTTGATGCACATACATCTCCTGTGGTGCAGCTGACAATATTTGATAATGCCTAATAGTATTTAAGTTGTGAGCCGGATACGAAAAAGTCAACAGACAGAAGGACAGATGGACATGAATGCCATAACATAGTCTTTAGATGGGCTTATACATGATAGAAATGACTCACAAAAAAACACTTAATCTTTCATTTTTTTATGAGTCATTTCTAAGTGTTCAAACTTTAATTCTTGTAGGAGAAAAATTTGTTTGATCAAGCTGTTCATGGAAATGACTAATAAACAACAAAAAAAGTAAATTATACAAGAATACAGACTCAGGTTTCCAAATTAAAACCATCATTTCCTCACCTGTCTGACAAGGTTCTGTACCAACTTCTCCATGGTGAAGGCAATGTAAGCATGAATACCGTACATCTCTCTTAGCTGGTCCTCATACTGTGTGGATTCCAGATTCCCATCAAGCAAACTCTTCACCATCTCCAGGAAGTAAGGATAGTACTCCTCAGGCTCAATCTCACCTGTAACCATAGCAAAAATCAAAACAATTGTCTTGGCAACCATTGCAAATTAATACATTCAATGCAATAAGAGGAAGACTAAAGGCTTTATAAATGATGTCATAATTGTAAATTCATGTATATTATTGTAAAAGGGTTTCATGAAAAGTGTGGACAACCTTTTGCTAAACTAACTAGGAATTTTCTATAAGTATAACAATTTTTGAAAAAGTTTGATATAAAACTGAAATTCAACAGTGCTCCAAGTCACACATACTATTAGGGCGATAAATGGTGACCTAAAAAAAATTTTGGTCACCATTTCAGATTTTCTGGTTGCCATCCACAAATTTTTCACTCGCCATGGTGAAAACATTTTGTGAATAAAGCATTTAATATATTATAACAGCAAGGAACAAACACTCATATAAATGTATGTACATGTATAATGTCATTTTCTTGATATAGAATCTTAGAAAAAAATAAATCTTATTTCTGATTATAGAAATGAAAACTCGCCAGGTCAAATTTTCTTGGTCGCAAAAATGCGAGTCAGTTTTAATTTGTAGTCCCCAAATTAATTTTTTGGTCGCAAACTCGGAGCTCTGTAATCAAGCATATTTTGTATACCATACGGGGCAGAATTTGGAACACATCACTGCTGAAAATAAAATACTTTTAAAGGAAGCAGTGATTTATTAATTCTTAGGGCTATCTCTATCTTTGCTAAGGATCATTCCACCTTAATAGCAATATATTATTGATCTTTGACACCTGGACCACCACCATGTCCAATATCACCAATATTGTCAAGTGAATCAAATATCCTGATTTCATAACTAATTCAAATTTCAACCTTCAAATCTCTAACCCTTCAATATCTCAAATTTCTGACAGTTTCATTTTGTTCTAGGTAGAAAGGTTTGACTGTGCATGCATTAATAACAGACAAAATGTATAACAACTTCATTTTACAATGTCCCTTTAATTTTTCTTACTTGGGGCTTTGAGTCTGAGGGCTACTGCAGTGGATTCCTTTCGGTCTTTTCGACACTGCGCCTCCTCAGCTGCGATTTTAACAGAATATGTGTATATCTTGTACAGGCGTTCACACAGAATTTGGTGTAAGCGGAAAAACAGATACCAGTTATTGTTGACAAAGAACAGGGAATAGATGTCATCCTGCAAATTTACAACAAAGTCAGGTTTAAGAAAAAAGTTGCAACTATGTGTATTTGTATTAATCAGAACAGAAACTGTTTAAACACAAACTATAACATTACAGAAATTGAACAGTAAAATCTTACAAAAGAAAACATTCTTATACATGTTTATACATGTAAATTAATTAATTTTAAATTTTTCTAAAAAATCATATACTCTTACATCCTCCATATCATCATCGTTAGTGTTTTCCTCCTGGTCGCCATTGACAACAGCCGAGTCAGCAGACTTACTCTCATCCCCCTCCTCCATTTTAATCTCGGGGTCCAACTTTTCCTCCTTGATCTTCACTTCCTCACTCTCCTTTCCGTTTTTCCCTGAACTTGAAGATTTGTCCTTTTCCGATTCTTTCTTTTCCTCTGCTTTTGGCATTTCCTTGTCTGCATCATCAACATCCATGTCATCTACAATATAACATGTACACTCCATTGGTAAAGTTTGCTGAAAATTTCATTAAAAACTGGTAATAAAATAGTTAAATGTTCATATTTATACCCAAAGAAAATTAATACTAATAATTATAAGTAATAAGTAGATTATGATTCTGAGAAATTTAAATACTGAAATTTTACCAAAAAAGTTGATTTTTCATTTCTACATACATGCCTATTGTAAATATTTGAGATAAATGCATTGAGAAGCACTAACAACAATTAACTGTGTATCTAGTGGATACTTTCAGAATGACTAAGAGTTATCTCCCTGTACCTTCTTCCTCGTCGTCACTCATTTCCTGTCGCGGCATGAAGAACAGATCTGGTATCAGCTGACGTAACAACAGCTTGATCTTGTGTTTGTCATCTTTGTGAATTCCTACAATTTAAAAATATTGATTTATTTTAATATCATTACATGTATTTTATATCAATTGCTCTCAAGCTCATAAAAATCAGCAAAATTTTCTAGATCTCCTCTCTCAAAACATTGTTGGAATAACACTTTCAAATGAACTTTTAATATGTAAAATCTTTTTTTCTCTCTCTTCTCTGGAAAAAGTTTTGATATCTCACTTTTCTTGTAGATTTACTTGATATATGACAAGTAATCTTATTTTTTCAGCTTTTGTTTATGTAATTTACAAAATAAAAAATAGTCAAGCTAAATAATGTAATTGTAATATAATACATGTAACTGACCAGCTTGTCTCTTCATGTGATGTAGAATGAGGGAGGCCGCATCCTCAATGACAGATCGGTCCTTATACACATAACTCAGATGGGGGTTAAATGCTTCAGCACTCTCTGTTTCCTGTTCTGACCGCTGTTATACAAAATATTGAACAAATATTGTTAATACAATTTGTTACTAATTACTATATTTCTTTCCAGATTGGTGTGCAGGTCAAATCTATGAAAAGTGTAGCATTGAAATAACTGGACCTTACAAAATGAATAAATATTTTTGGAGGGTGGGGAGGATGGATCAATCAATAATTAATCATTATGAAACTTAATTTTCCTTCTCAAATGACTAAAGAAAATTAATCTAAGGACAGAGAAATCTTAAAAGGAGACTTTTATCAGAAATCTTTAGTTATCAAAGAACCTAGTGTTTTCTTCCTCAATTCTAGTATTACAGTGCACATGAACAAATACCATTTCTGACAAAACTTGTCCGTCTGCATCTTCTATGGATATAAATTAAGACACAATGACAAAGTCTCAAACCTATTTCATAATCACAAGTTTGCAATTGTCCATTACCAAAATCAATACAGAGCAGATTCAGGTTATCCTAACTTTGACCTTTCACCTCAATACAACCTTTGACCCACCTCATCATATATAGTCTCTATCTCATTGAGCAGTCCTTTAGATCGGATGGCCTTGACATCATTCTGTTTGAAGTTAATCCCCTGATGGTCCAGTGACTTGAGATAATATTTCTCATTCTGCTCTCTCCAAATCTTGTTGAAGTTCCTCTGGGCTTCACGCCATTCTTCCTCTTTGGCCTTCAACCTAAAATTTCAAACATAAATTGTTTTATAACATATTATAAGTATAGAATTCAATGTAATACAGGTACTCTGTTGTCTTTTTTTCCTGACAAGCTGTGAATTAATTTCTGACAAGCTGTGTATTAATTGGTTCAAATTGGCAGGTTCCCAACAAAGATATCGACATTAGTCTGGTTTGCTGCTGGTTACACAAGGAGATGCATAGAACGTGATCTCCCTCCTTCATTTATAAAATATTTTGCGTCTAAAATTTAGAATAACGGGGCTGTCAATGCCCTTTTTTGGTACATGGTCTGGGTCTCACCAGATTGGCAAAATTATCGATGTTTTGGGTCAAATTGGAAATTTTTACTTTTATACAATATAATTTTATAAAACCATTAAAACATGAATTGATTGTTCTAAGGTAAAGACAAAAACAACAGAGTAAGATCAATTAGGTTTTAAACTAACAGGATTTAATTTTTCATATGAACACAATTAACAATTTCTGATATTGGGAATTTCTAAATAAGTTAACTGGGAATTTTGGGGGGGGGGTTTCCCAATTAGGAAGGGTCTGCTTATCAGACCCAAATCAGACGAGATTGATGGCCTTGAATAAAAATATATAATAGGTGACAGCCTCTTCCGTCTTTACTTACCTCCTCAGCACTAGTGGTACGGCTACAACAGGGTTCTTCTTCAGACCATCAATAATATCTGGAGCTTTGTCACCATAGATTCTACAATATACACATGTTCATTAAACATGACTGTTATGAATACCCTTGTACATGTAGATCCCAAAATCCTTATTTTAAGAACTGTACACTGTTTTAAGGTATCTGCTCTCTCTTTCGTGAACTCTCTCTCTCTCTCTCTCTTACATTATCACAATAATTAACCATCAAACAAAAAGTTCCTCTTCTATTTATTTTACTACAATATTAAACATATTCTAATCCCATTAAATTCATTGAAAACTTTATTGCATATTATAAAATTAAACATTGCAGTTGCTAAATTGTGCAGTTTCTCCACAATGTGCTACACTACAAATCTTTAAATTTGTACAGGTCAGAAATTTATCCTTCAAAATTTCTTATTCCTACAAATCTACTCAGTGTACAAAAATATACACGTGTTACCTTTGGAATGAGATAAATTTTCAGAAATTTGAGAGCTTAAAAATCCCCCACCCCCTTCCACACACACAGTCACTCCTCCCTAACCTCTGTATGGATTTCCTTTGAAGAACATCAGATGACCCGCCCAGGGAGTTGTCCAATCGGAATTTAGCTGCTTCCTCTGAGCTCATTCGACTCATTTTCTTTTGTACCGCTTCCAGGCAACGGATAGTGGCCAGATTTGTCTCTACGACAACATCAAGCTGAAATAGATGTTATTTCAGAGTCAATATTCATTTACATTATTTTCAATTTCAAACTGACTATTAATGAGGAATCCTTTAGAGAAGTGGACAATTTAAGAGCCAAAAAGCAACATTTTTCACATGACCTGTCTGCTTTTTTTTCATTGGAGTACTTTTTTAGTCTTCTTGTTGCCAGCGGAAGGCTGCAAATGTATCCTATACTCGGCACTTAGGTGTATGGTCACTGAGCAGTGAGGGACTTTTTTTGTTAACATCTACTGCAACATGGGACCTTGGTTTGAAGGATATGGATCTCATCCAAAGGACTGGCTTAAATGGTTAACTGAACCTTAAAGCAGCTCAAAACCTACCTCAAACCTTTCATCCTCACAGCGGTATATGTGTTCCTCATACTGCGTTTTCCGTGATGTGACAAACGTGGAATCCTCCGACCAGGAGGGGAAAGAGACCCAGGTGTCATTCAATACCTTCAAAGGTAAACAAAGCTTATGTAATGTCAGTGACATTTTACATTATGAAAGTACATGTGCAAGAGATAGGGTGGGGGGAAGTAAAACAGATAATATTAAAATACACATATTATATTACAGAAAATAAGTAATTTTTGCAAGTATGCAATATTTCTAGAACTTTGTGTGTTAAAACAGAACCACAATATTTTAATTTCATTCCCAACACTAATTTCCAAATCTCAAAATATCAAGGACAACTGTTAGTTACCTCTCTACACAGCGGGGTTCGTCCTGAACACTTAGGCTGAGGGTAGGACTTGGGCAGTGCTCTATAGCTGGCTCCGTATCTCTTACAAGTGGCATAGTCTGAAACAGTGGGGATATCATAATAATATCAAACTTCTCTACAGTAAAAAATTACTTGCCAGTATTGAAAATGACGCTGAAACTAAAAAGTCTTGTTTTCATACAAATATGTAGGGACTAACATTTATTTCACGACTTTTATATAAAGTTCAGAAAAAAATCCATCAAACAGCAAGACCAAAAAGAAAAAAAAAAACTATTTATTTTCTTACAAATATAAATCAAGGTAAAGTTGAAATTCATATTACTCATAACCATGTACCTTTTTGTGTTTATATAACATAGATAAGAAACTTTATGTGTAACAGTTTTGGCTTTATATAATGTATCTATAAGCATCAACAGAGTAGCTATTTCAATACTGAGAATAACATCACCAACAGAAACACTGACCTAAATGGCGATAATAACAGTACAGTTTATTTTAAATTGAGGATAACACTGTCACAAATACTGACCTATTTCCATTGCAAGCTCCCCGCTGACCCTCTCCTTCCCAAGGGCACCTTGAGGTACCGCCTCAGTGGTGCCACCTGACTCCTTGTATCCTAGGAAATCCTTGAACCACTTGTACAACTCTGGGGATCTCCTGCAAAACAAAAACAGTGTGCTTAACAAATAAGGCATGGAAATGATTTTTTTTTTCCAAAGAAAGATGATCATAAATAACTGCTTTTACAAACTACCTTCCTCTAGAACTATGTGTAAAAGAAATAACAGTTTTTTTAAGCTTGTTTTCTGCATAAAAACATTTAAGTGTAAAGATTTTTTTTCTAGTAATATTGTATAAAAGAATTCTACTTCTATAATTTCAGTTAAAACAAAGATAATGGACTATTAACATGAATATCATGATTTCATTTTAAAAAATTCCTAGGTATACTGTATATACATTGTATGCATGAATCAGAATATAAAACTGGAACCAGGAACTCACTGTAAAAAAGTCTGGACAAGCTGAACCAGTTCGGTTCTTGAAATCACTTCCTGGTTAAATAGAACCAGACATCGCAAGAAATTCTCGTAAACCTCAGGGTGTTTCAGGAACTTCCTCACCTGAAACATACATCGTAAAATTAGTATGAAAAAAAAACTTGCATTTTTTCTTCTAAAGTCCTTTGAAAAAATTGTAAGAATTTCAGAAAGTTTGACCCTTTAATTAATATCTAAATGATCTAATAGTAAATGCATTAACAATACCATTCATTTTGTTCTTTTTTTTTTAACTTAATTTTCGCAAAAACTTTTATACATGCATGAAGGAAATACATCTCTTTTTTTTTTTTTTTTTTTTTTTTAAAATAATCTTACTAAAAGTTTTTATTGGTAAGTATGTACATTTTTCCCCAGATAATATTCAAAATATCCCCCTCCATTAAAAAAAAAGCTACAAAAGTTTCTTAGTTTGATTTTCTCATAAATCTAAAATAAACAATTCTTTTGAAAACTAAAAAACATGGCTCTGATTTTTACAAATCACTCACTTTGTCAAAGAAGGCAAACTCATTCAATGTTCCATATCTTCCGGCCTCAGCAAGTGAGATGTCTTTTAAGGTTCCCGTTCTCTGTTTCTGAAAAAAAAAAATTCAACAATAAAGACTTGTATCAAATAAGGTATCATATTGGTCCTCAAATCCTCTTGCTCAAATGAAAACAATGCAGCCTCATAAAAATTCCAATCTGAAACATCAAATTGTCAATAAAATTTTTTTTGCATGTTAACTTTGGAATGTATTTAATCTTAACTTTACATTTATACACAGACCTCTCTTCTGTCCATGTTAACTGGCTATGATATTTCTCTCCAGGTATGACAAGTTAAAATTAAAATCAATATGTGGAATATCAGGGAAGGGGCATTGACCCCATTTCATTTGAGTTTCAACTTCATTATCTCAAACATTCATATCTCAAAGTTTTTCAAGAATAGGGTTCAACTGTATCTAATCTGAACTATACTTGAGTTCAGCTCCTGTTCCTCAATTGACTCTCTAGCATTCCACATATGTGGGGGTTCTGCTCTCTCTCCCCTCCTTCCCTGAGAAGTATTTAATTCATTCAATCCTTGTCTTCAGACTTTGCTCATCAACTTTCCAACAAAACCACCTTTCTATGGCTCACCAACACCAACTCTCTGTAGGGGTGGTTTCAGACCTTGTGAATTAGACTATCTGACAATACTAACCTTCTGTGGAGGTTGTGGCCCACCAGAGGGTCTTCTGTGTTGATTTCCGCTCTTCCCCATCTGACTTTTGTTGCCTAGGGAGGGTTTTTTGACAGTGGAGGAGTGGTCATTTCTGACCCCCAGGGATGAGCTGTCAGTCTGTAACATGTTTAGCTGTAAAACAAAAAGTCTTCAAAATATTAAACCAGGTAAAATGTGTGAGATGAATTTCAATCATCTGAGTTTAACATTCAGGCATGTGCTAAAATTGACTTAGATGGGTAATATGTATGTTCAGTAATAACAGTATCTAGTATTATAGTACAGAGACTGACCATTTGTATCCTTCAATGGATGCAGACAAAAGTAAATTCAGTTATCAAGGTTTTACTCTATAAAGATTTTCCACACAATCCAGTGATTTTTCTACACCCAATTTAGGTCCGAATATCGGCCCTTTCCCCTATCAAAAATTACCGATTTTTTCCCAATTTCAGTTGCTTTTTCCCCCCAGAAAAACCGTTATTGATTTTGTTACATTAAATTTTTTATGTACGACTTATCTAAATTGGAACGCTATTGCTCTCCGTCATTCATACTCTTAAAATAATAGTGAAATACAGCAGATCATTTTGTGCGTTTACAAGACATAGAAAAACACATGGATCATGTCAAACGTCAAACTAAATACATCGTAAGAAAGTGTAAGATGCATGTGAACAGGCGAAACATAGCTTTATTTGTAAATCCAAGTACTAGTAGTTCTACAACAAGCATCCCTGATTCCATGAAAATCAAACTGTTTCTACACCCGGCAGATGCAACTAATATTGCAGGGTAATTGCAGCACTGTGACAATGATTAGGGTGATTTAGAAAGCTAGAAGAAAAATGATTTGTTTTAAATCATGTCAGATTATATCATCTTCAATGGATATTATGAGTAGTATTTTTTCTTATGTCTACCATTATGGCAAAAAAAAAAAAAAAAAAAAAAAAAAAAAAAGGAATATAGGACGGTCACGACTAATGACAACTTTCAAAGATTAAAAAAAAAGTTGAAAATGTAGAACTGTGTCTAATTTGTTATTTTGTAGTAAATATTTTGAATAAATGATGTTACATTTACTTACATATTTATATTTTATTTTACCTGTCAATTAAGGATACACCAAAGGTTTCGATATGCCAGAATTTAATTTGCATGTAATTCTTTCATCATCAAAGATAACATAATAAAAGTATATATCATTTGAAAGCTTGTTAAATTTACTATTTAATTATCCTAATTTAAACTTTAATTAATAACTTATTTAAAAATTATTTAAATATTAATGTAAATTTTAGTGCATAAATATTTTATAAATCAACTTTTTTGTATTTAACCCCTCAAAGTGGTCATTTTACCTCAAGGTAGATTAAAGATTGAACTTAAAAACTGTATCTCAGATTTTTGATAAATCTTCTAATTCAGAAGTTACAGCCATTTGCCCTTCAATGTTACCAATTTATTAGCCTAATTTAACATTTCCTTCAATAATTCCAAAACTAAGCTAGATATCAAAAATCTGAGACACGGTTTTGTGAACACACATTTGAGAAGCAACTCATCCAATTTTCAGAGAATTTGGGCAATAAATAAGGGAGCTGAATCCTCTGAAATAATACCACAAACTGTCTGATCTTACTTTACAGTAGAGGGCAAAAACCCATTACACAACAAAATCTGCCAAAGCTAGGAATATATGACACCTTGGAGATTCAGCTTTGGATACCTGTCACTTAGCCATATTTCCTATGCATGTTCACAAGAATGGGAGGTTCTTTTCTGTATTTAGATGCTTTTAATTAAGTAAAATAGGTTCAATTCTGAATCAGAAAGATTTCCCGGCAAAATGGCAAGAGCTAAGCTCCACCTCCTATTTTCTGGTCATCAGTGATCAGTTAGATCTCTTTCTCTAAATCTAGAGTCCCTGTAGTTTAATTACTGATAACCTCTGTGTGGCTAGTGAAGAATTCCCCAAGTGGTCACAGTGATTTATTGCGTCTTTCATGAGCAGGCAGTCCCAGATCAAATCAGAAGCTTCAATAACGGAACATTCACATGTGGTAGTGTTCATGTTTCATAATTGTTAAATAATTAGAAAACTATTTCATAATTACCAAGAATTTTACATGCATTATAAAGCAGTGATTAACTTCTTTTTCTTGGCCAAAAATCTCAAAATTGTTGAAAATCTTGAAAAAAACCTTTGGTGTATCCTTAAGGTTCATTTCAATCTTATTGATTTTTCCCAATTTTACACAAATGTCGATGATTTTTCCCAATTGTAAAGGCCCAGGCCCCTTTTAAAAAATGTAGAAAAATCACTGCAATCTACCCTGTACAAATGCAAATCTCGGTAGTTACATCTCCACGTCACGTCTCCCCAGTACTTGTCTGTCATATAATGACCCCCCCTAAGGTGTTCAAACTTCCAAGAACTTAAATTTAATTTAAACAATATTTTATTCACAGAAATTAAAGGGATTGGGCAGCAGGCTCAGTCTATATTAGACCTCTCCCTAAGAACCTCATTTCCCCTTTAAGATGTCATATCTTCCTTAATACTTACATATCCTCCGTAAGATGATCCATTGGCATCTGGCAGGAATTGACCAAACTCGGCCAGTAGATCCTCCTGGTTCTGGAACAGTTTGGCCACCTGTGAGTACACCTCAGCCTCGGTCAGGGGCTTACAGCCAGGGGAGACAATTCCCTAAAGAAACATAACAAAAGGGAGATCACTCAAAATGATGATTAATACAGTTATATTAATGACTGCTGTAAATACACAATTCACTGATACATACTTCTTTAAGGTTCCGTTGTTCCTTCTGATAGGTGTGTAGAATCTCCAGGAACGCTTTATAGATCTCTGGTTGGCCTTGGAAACGATTCTGTAAAAAAGACATTACCAAAAATCTAAACACACGGACATTACTGTTAATAATGGTTCCATAGATTAACAGCAATATTTGGTAGCTAGATTGAACTGTCTAACTTTAGTTTCAAACAAAAATAATTTTATGCCACTTTGGGTCTGGTTACATGATCCATTCCTCAAAATGAAATTCAGTTATATTTCCCAAATATTTCCTTTTTTCCACAATTAAGTTTCAAGCAAGAAAAACTTTTAAAAAAACAAAATCTGAACATTTTACACATCAAAATTCCCACTTTCCTTGGACACTGAACTCACTTTGAAAGAGTAAAAAAAAAAAAAGCCACAAATGCTAACATGTACAAGAGCCTATAATTCATTCCATTTCTTATTGAATAATACACGTGATCATTCTGTCTTTTACCTTGATTTTGTTGACATAGTTGATAGCGTGATTGAATTCTACAGGCTGCCCGGCCTGAGGCTGCTGAGGCTGGGGTTGATGGCTCTGATTGGTGGACCCCATCTGCTCCGATCCCCCGCGGTGAGGCGACTGATGGTAGGAGTGGTGGGACGACCCGTGGGTGGGAGTACTCGGCATGTGGGCTGGGGGAGGGGTTGTCTTCTGGGGCATGGAGAACATGTCTAATTTATGTCCTGGCATGGGCTACAAACAATACAGTAAATTTACATTAACAATTTGTGTAAATTATTTATACACCTAATAACTTATATGCAATAGATCATTTTTCCATTTCTGATATTTTTTTCAATTGCTAACAAATGAAGTTTCTCAAGTGTATAAGATACTTGGAATACTGGAAAATAATATACATATATCTACCACTTTTCATTCATAAATTCCGGTGTACAATGTAAGTTATTCTAGTCTCAAACCACTAGATAGAGACTTCTAACTTACTGACTGGCCTGGACATTATGTCAGGAATTCATACACTGTATCTCAACACTGTATCTCAAAGTGTTGTGTCTTTTCTGAAAAACGAGACTTTAGAACTTGTAAATTTCTGAGAGGTTTTCTACAGATACATGTAGTTCTATTTTTAGTCTTACTGTGGCTGATGGCAGCATGATTGGGGTATTTGTTGGGATACACAGTGTCTGCTGGCCTGGCTGGTGAACGCTGATTTCATTGGCCTGGACCTCGATCTTATACCCTGGGGGAAGGAACGTGTTAAAGCCTACAATCAGGTCAGGGTGGCCTTTGAACAAGTTGGACACTCGATTAATAACTCCTGGGGTGTCAATTCTGAAAAAAATGTGTACAGTTGAACTTCTTTATCTCAAACATTGATATCTTTAATACCATGATATGTTTAAGCCATTTGGAAGTCCCAAAAATTTTCCTGGATGTATTTCACCCTCAATTAGGGCTGTCACGAGTACCCGAAATAACCGAGAACCGCGGTCCAAGTTGTTCGGTTCGGTTCCGGTTCCATTTTTCCGGATTTCGGTTCGGGTCTGGTTTATATATTAGAGTCTGTTTAATACAAAAAATGGCTTCGAAATCAAAGAAATGATGACGATAACAGTGATAAATAAACGTCACAACTGAAATTTACTTCATTCCATGACAAAACACTTGTCACGGAAGTGTTAGATAATTATCAAAACGAGCAGGAATGGTCAGGTTGTGACTAATAGTAGGCCAAGTCACCGATGTCTAGACGTTTTCAATGTAAATTTAATGTAACAAATAAAGATTTTTCAAGTTAAATTCATGAAATTAAGGTTTAAAATAGATGTAAATACCCGACCCGAAAAACCCGAAACCGAACCGAAAATTTACAGACCTGACCCGACCCGAAAAATTTTGGAACCATGACAGCCCTACCCTCAATATATCTCGAATCTTCCCTTGATAGCTCCAAGTCTTTTCTTGGTCTCAACGAGTTTGAGATAACAAGGTTTGACAGTATATTTAATTAAGGATGTCATGATTATGTTAATAGGTACTCACGTTTGTGACTTGAACTCTTTCATGATGTCTAGAAAATCATTGTAGACCTGGGGCTGATTGCCAAACTGCAGCTTGACTTGGTCGAGATACGACAATGCATCTTCAACCTTCAGTCTCTGGAACTGCTGCTGTTGCTGACCCTGAGTGGTAGCAGAATGGGCCTGAAACAGAAAGTGCAAAAAACATGTAATTTACTCAATGCTGGCCACTGAAAAAGATTGTAGGAAGAGCTTTAGCTTAAACCACATGGTTTTGAAAAAGACTACAGGAAAAACAGTAACCAGGGCCGAATGGACCTGAAAAGGAAAGCATGAAAATAGGTGTGAAAAACACTGTAGGTAGAACTTAAACCTAGGCTAGATAGGCCTTAAAAAATGCATAGAAACCATTTAGCCTATACCAAATTAACCTGAAACAGAGCACACACACCCTTTCACAAGGATTCAATTTGAAGAAAACCATTATTGAAAGCAAGAAAGTCATTATTTATACAATTATCTCCCTTTGAAGAGGAGGAGGAACTCTAACCAAGTCGAAAGGAAAGATCAAAATAGCATACCTGTGGGGGTGGTCCCTGAGAGTGGGCCTGTTGGATGGAGGGCTGGGATGACCCTTGACCTGTAGGTGGACCGTGGTGACCTGACAATCCTGGATTTGGCTGGTGATGCATTCCGGTTGAATGAACATGTGACTGTGTAGTCCTGAGAATATAGAGAATATGTGACTGTGTAGTCCTATGAATATTAAGTCAATTTATTTTTAAACATAACTGATTTCTCTGTCAAAACCTTTGAGTAATTTTTTTTTTGTTTAAAAAATTATTTAATTATGCTTTCATCTAATAAAAAAAAATTCTGAAACAGTGTAAAATGCTCTTTTTATTGAAAATGCATATAGTATTATAGGTGATACTGCCATTACTTACGGGAAACTGTGCATAGGAAACTGAATCTGTGCCAAGTTTTCCGCCGCTCCTACTGGTATGTCAAAACGCTGCTGAGCTGATGGGGCAATAACTCTGGGATACTGTGACTCCCCTTGGGGAACTCTCCTGGGCTGCTGTAACATTCACAACATGCAAGGTAAAATGTTTGACCAATATGTTAACACAGCAATAAATCAAAATGTTGACAATATATTTTTTATTAGAAAATCAAACAATTTGATCATCAGAGTTTTATTTAAACAAAAACAAAACTCATTGAACATGTTGAAAGAGATGTGCTTAGAGGCAAATTTTAGGGAAAAGAAAAGTAAGTAACATATAATAAATATAATTTTATTTTTTTTTTGGTGTGGGGTGTTGTTTTGTTTTTTTTTTCTTTTACCGTATTCATGAGCTGCCCAGATTTTCAGCAGGAAAAAAGGAGCTGATCCTGAATTTAAAAAAAAAATGCAGTGAGTGTCAGGTGCAAGTTAAATTTAAAAATAGTTTTGTTAACTAGTGTGTATATACAGTAAACTTCTGACAAACTTTGACATGCACTTATGTATAGGAACCTATCATCCCTTTCATGCAACTTAGACTATCCCAGTGTACACAAAATAGTCGCCATTATTCCCGCTGAATTTGACTTCGGCATGTTTGCCAATTTCCTCCGAACCATCGTAATAAATACACAAACAGATGGTGCAGTGCTTAAGCTAATGACAAAATTTGAAAATCTGCATGAATAAGAGAAAAAGTTAACCAGATTAAAAGCAGAAATTTGTAATAAACAGATCGGGGAGTTCAAAACATGCCATTCGGAACTTAACACCAAGGAGTTCCGATACACATTTCGATTTTGCCTGAAATTCTACCAAATTTACAGAAAGATCAAGGCATATTGAATTATTTTTATGATGAATAAAACCGACTGATACCTTTTCACAGTCTAACTGTTACACTAATGGTAGTTTAAACATGTAACTCGCTGCAAGTTCCAGGCTTAAGCAGACAGCCGCTTGGGCGAGTCCATTTTACCTTCCACAGACCATAACACAAGAATTTTCTAACGTCCTCCTCAAATCTTAGCATACAAGGCACGAGACGATGAAAATATCGTTTTCATGAAGGTTGTGAATCTGTTTTTACATATATGATTAAACATAGTTACGTGGGTAAGGCATAAAATGAGAAATTCCAGCCCACTGTTTGGCAACAAGACGACCTATAGGTTGGTAAAAATCAACAAATATTTGACAAGGGGAAAATGACGATTCTGTGAGAAAAAGTGATGATTGCATAAAATAATGGAAGAAAGATGTTACAATGAATGTGTAAAATAGATATATTATATCTTACCTTCGTTTTAACCACCGATGATTGCGATATTTGTCGGATTGTTCTTCTGGGATTCCCTTCCGAATATCAATACAAACTTTTCTATTTTTACACTATCGTGATGTCAGAAAGGTTTTCCCATTTTCATCCAATGAAAATCGCCGTTGCAGAAGTTTAAAAGGAGGGCAACGCATTTTTTTGTCTTCGACTTCCGCTAAAGAAAAAGAGGCGGATCTCAATGTCGGTAGATAGTAGGGCCTAATGAAATTGTTACTCAGTTTGTACCCTTTTTTTATGAGATAGCCTACATGTTGCTGTACAGTTACAGATTACTTGATATTTACAATTTTTCTTCTTATTTTTTGCATTTAAAATCGGGATCGAGATTGCGCAGCATTTCCCGAAAAGAAAGTACGATAGCATGACTGCATGTGTTGATGTGCAATCATGTCAGATGTATTAGGATCAGGACCCTCTTCAGCTTTTGACGAAACTGACGATAAAGCAAATACAGGTGTAATTTCACGAAAACTTTGATTCTGATTTATATTTATCTAATTAAAAAGCAACTGAACAATCAAACAACCCAGTCGATAAATAGCAATAATCTATGTACAAGAGTGTACTCTGCAAAGCAATGACCATCACATTTTTCCTCTTTCAAATGTCTTTGCCCAATGGAATAGTCTGTTCTTAAAATAATGATCTGTCTATTCTTGCAGAGAAGTGGACAAGCATAGCCATAACGTCCATGTAGCTATGTGGGCTATGCCTGTCCATTTCTCTAATGAGAAAAGGGTCCGTCCTGAGATGAAGATTCTTCTCAGTCTTCTATATGGAAGACACTAACCAAGGATCATCCTTAAAAAGTTTATCACCAGTCATATTGCTCAAGTACCTACGATGGCCAACAGCAGCCTACACTGCGCACTGTATGTAATGTACAATATTTTCACTGAAAACTTCCTGACACGTTACACCTAAAAGTAAAAGTGAATATATAAAGTGTAAAGTGTCATTGCAAAATTCCATGCACACTCTACACCAATGTTCTGTGTGTAAAGTGTCAGGAAAAGTTTCATGTATACTCTATATCTAAATTAAAGTGGTATCAAGTATCAAAACAGAATCAGCGTTTCTTTGTGTTGCCTCTTTGTACACTTTTACTTTTAGGTGTAACGTGTCAGGGAGTTTTCAATGAAAATGTTGTAGTACACGTTACACACATAACATTAGTGTAAATTGATGGCTGCTATCGGCCATCGTATATACCACCATATGTTACAGCTAAAAAGGGGAAAGCTCAATTATATCATATACTAGATGAAATCCCGCGCAAGCGCGGGGAATTGAATTTATACCACTACCGACAGAAAAAAATCTAATAATATATATATTGTAGTTTCTACTGACAGCCTACAGGCTTATAGCAGGAAGAAATACTTTGTTCAAAATCCCGCATGAAGTAGAAGTATGTCTCCAACCCCCCCCCCCCCCCCCCCCCCCCGTAAAACTTAAATAACAAAATCATTTATTGACGTTTATTGTGAAACCTGTTGTATACAATGTACTATGTTATGGATATTGTACTTCAAATGCTCTTATTTCATTTCCGTCATGAATAAAAGCAGTGAATATGCACATTTTACTGAGAAAGATTTTTTTTGGTAAAAATTCACAGGTACTTGGGTCTTGGTTTATGAATATGTATGTACCTTACTGATATGTAAAAACTGTACCTTACCTCTCTCTCTCTTTTTTTTTTTTTTTTTACATTTCAATAAGGTATAAATGTATACATATTTATAATCCAAGACCTAAAAGTACCTGTGTAAAAATTAGCTTTTATTCAACGCCCTATGAATACACTGGCGGATTTAGAGGGAGGTCCAACCCCCCTCCCGTTTTGTGTCCAAAATATACATAAAATTTAATAAATCTTTTTTTTTTTGGTGTGTCCGTGGGCCCCTACCCCAACCCCAAACTGGTTGCCCCCTCCCCTTTTTCAAGATTCCTGGATCAGCCACTGGAATAGGCCGAGTATTTGATACAAAAGACTGTATTCAGAAAAAAACTGAAATGTATAAATTAAAGCACAAAATTATACAGCATAATTGTACTTGAATAATGCCTTATTCATTGATATTCTCTTTTCATGTAAGCAAGTTTATTACGAAGTACAAATTATACTTAGGGTTCGTTGCCACGATGCTTTCAGTGAGGAATATATACAAATTTTACCGATAAATTTATTAGGAAAACCTACTACATATATGTAATAGATCTAGTCTTTCGATATATAAATATATTCACAACTTACAGTGTTATCAATGATTTACCATTATTTCAATGACCATTCACACAAAAGCTATTTTTTTTCTTTTTAACATCAGGCTCGATGCTATATGATGTTCCAGAAGCTTCCGTCAATATTACGATCGGTGAATGACGAAAATAACTTGCACATTTCCCTTTTTAATCGGTTATCACAACTTATTTCTTTTATATCATTTAAATCAAGTTTTGATTGAATAATTCAGTAATGACGTTCAAGGAAATAAATAAACAATTGCTTGTTGTCAGTTTCTTTAAAAATTGACAGTAACTTTGATCCGCCAACCGGAAACGCCACCGTACTCACGTTTTTGCTATTTCATGGCTGTTTATAGAAAATAAAAGTAGACTTTTAATTTAATGTACGATACTTACAATGCAAGTGAAATCTAAATATAGTTTACGGACATCATCTTGTATCGTGTGTATTCTTAGAGGAGTAAGTAAGAACTCTGGTGCACCCGTTTCGGAGTTTATTTGCAAAATTTATTAATTTATAAGTATAGATACCAGGCCAGGATTCAAACCATGGACCAAGTGTGTCACTATTTTCGTAGTCATGCAGGTTGGTTTGCCTAAGAACTGAGTTACTTAGTTGTGTGGCTGTCGGGCATGACCAGATAGCTCAGTTTTTAAACCATCTGTCTAAGTATTCAAGGGGTTGGGATTTGAATCCTGCTACTTTCTTCTAGTAAACACTGGTTTTCTTTATTTTTTGTTATGCTTACAGCTGATGAAGAAGAAGAGAGAAAATTTTCAGCAGCACAGAAAGCAAGAGTTGAGCGAAATCGTCAAAAGGCTTTACTCCTTAGGCAGTCCAGGCTAGCTAAAAAGCCTTACACTGCCATAGACTCAAAGTAAGCACTCTTAAATAGGCTTTACTTCTCAGTCTGTCCAGACTAGCTAAAATCCTTACACAGGTCCAGAGTCAAAGTAAACACATGCAGAGAAAATCTGTAAATGATTTGAAAGGATTCCAAACTTTCATCAGTTATAAGCTAGAAAAAGGAATCAGACAAACTTGATATACTGGTACATAGTATCTCAGATTTGGTGAAAATGAAAGAGAGCTTTGAAATTTCCAAGAGTTCAAGATACAACAGTTGAAACCTTAGGATACAACATGTCAGAAAAGTCAAATTACTTTTAAATGTCTATCATATTGACTTGTTAGTGTTTGGTATACTGTCTGACTGTTTAAGAGTTTGTACACACAGAAACACACATGAGCATTTAACTTATCTGCTGTAGACAGAAGGTGACACGCACCATCGATACTGGGGCAGGATTCTTCCTGGAAGAAGAGGAGGAAGAAGAAGAAAAGGCAAAAAAGGCAGAGGTCAAACACCCACTAGGTAAGGTGTCAAGGTCAAGTAAATTTATTTTATGAGTTCAAGGTTAAGTATGAACTCTAGTATACTTGTAATTTCTCTCTAACTTTCTTGGATTTTTTTTCAATTACAGTTTTGATTTTTTTTATTGGACAGGTTGTTTGACTCTGACACCCCCCTCCCCCCTCCAAAAAACTGTTTCAACTTGCTCACATTTATAGTCACTACCTTAGGTTGTTTTCATTAGTGAACTATTGTTCCAAGCTAATTTTACCTCATTTATTTCACCTCATTGATATTTCATAGGCTTATGATAGTAAATTAATAAAACTGTAGAAAAATAACACAGTATTCTTGTCATGCAAGTTTGTTTTGTAGTCCATGAATTTTCCAAAAAAAAAAAAAAAAAATGATCCAACTAAGACTTTTAAATTTGGAAATTCCAAAGTTTGGGAAATATGTGCCTTATATTGTGGGAATATTTTAGATTTGAGCTTTGTTTCATTTTTGATTCCAGTTGACCTTGTAAGTCCTCTTTTCTCGGACTGTTTTAAGGTTCATAAACCCTCTGCTCATTCATATAAATTGTTGCTGTAATTTTTATGATTTTCTGAAAGAAATATTTTTCACAAGTAAAATACAAACAATTATACCATAGCTTGCAGGGCAAAATTAAATAAAAAAGACATTTCAACTTGACAAATTTTTAAAGGAATAATAGACATTTATGTCATTAAGAGTTATCTCTCTTATCAGAGTATAGATGAACCTTAATATTCCAGCTTTATCCTTATATTAATATAGGTCCTGTTTTGGAGTCTGATGCACTGCTTTGTGATGATTGCGGAAAAGAATTCATGGACTCTTGGCTGTTGACAACCTACAATGCTAATGTGTGTGATGTCTGCAAGTTAGTAGCCATGACATACATGTAGAATTAAAAAAAGTCTCTTTCAAATCGGTGGAATAGATTAGAAATATTAAACTTTTCTCAATACTGTAGATTCCCAAATATACGTGAGAAATTAACTAATCACGTAATTTTGCCAGAAACACCACTTCTGAAAAAAATTACTCACTTTTATTTTTATGGTGCTTAAATCCATGTAAAATCTCCATGTAAAAACTATCCACTTACAAATTATTGTTCTTGCGATTTGATGTTGAAGAACCATTTTGCGATAATAGATAAGGAGTCTACAGTACACAGTATTTTTCATGCAGAAATACATTCAGTTTCAACAGCAGAATTTCAAAGATGACCGCATCCACAAATTAGTATATGTAGCTCAGTATTTTCAAAACGTCAGCTCTTGGCAGTTTTTTTTTCCAGAGATTTGGTTGCAGATTACACTACAGGAGATACCAGACAGAAACAAGTTTTGAAAATTGTGTAAAGCTTATCACAATGTATCTGGAATCAAATGATTATTCAGTATAT